ACAATTAAAGACACTGGGAAAGTTTAACCCTAACATCTTGTGAGAGAGTTTTCTTTTGTATTTATTAACCCACTTTCTACCTTGGCATTCTGCACAATAAGGAAGCCTCATTCAAGGCTAATAATAGGCCAAGGCCATCTCTGGGGAATAGAATGAGCTCATACCTACAGTACAGGTGCCAAGTATAATAAAGGTTTCTTAGTCCAACCTAAATATAGGCTGCTGCCCACCTCAGGGAGTTTAGCAAAGGCCTCTGGTGAGTAAAATACTATCTGCTGTATAGGCACCCAATCTGGCTTCTTTGGCAAAGCTTTTTGCTAACTGATCCTGAGATAAGGTCCTGGTAATAAAGGAGCTAGTTATTACTAAGTGTTATTCCACTCTGGGTCAAATGGGGGTGGGGGAGGCTAAGAAGAAGTGGAGAGATTTGCAAAATGACATACAATATAAATGACTGCTGTAAACAGAGAGTTTAATAAAAAGGCTATGTAGGAATTTATGGGCAACCCAAGGATAATTAAAATTATTTATCTACTTACCTCCCTTGCTGGCTGATCAGTCTATTAATTATCTATTATACTCCCACTGATTTGCATTTCAGTGAGGCAATTGGGTAAGGACAGTTGAAAAACAGTGAGTCTCTGGAGCAAAGGGAAGAAGAAAGGACTTTAGGGTAGGGAAGTTGGGAGCTATGGACTCTTTAAACTCTGTAGACACTCAATGAATTAATTGACAACTTAAAATCAGTGGCAGGGATTTTACTAGCCTTTTACACATTTAAAATAGTTGCAATGGACCACCTCATACTATCTCCCAGGGAGACTGAATTGTGTTCAACTCTGAAAGTTTAGCCAGAAGCAACAAGTGCATTCCACCTGGCCTCTCAGCCTAATACAGAGAAACATCTCAGTATGGTAGGAAAAGAATTATTTAAAGGGTAACGTACCTGTTTTCAGAAGTGACTGCTCCTGGGGGCTTATATAGCAGTTTTCCTGCTGAAGGGGACAGGCAGACCAGCTAAAATGAAATGTTGGAGAATTTCCTCCCTGTTGTTCAGACTTAACGCTGTGTTTAAAAAAGAAAACAAGAGAACAAAACCATCTTCAATCTCTGAATATGTAGAGTACATTGGATGTGTGCTCTCACTCTCTTGATTAAAAATATCACAGGACTGGATAGCATGAAAATGAAGTTTTTTGAATGTTGTAAGAGAGTAAGTCTTAGATCAGGTGATCTCAGCTCTACCTCTCCTACCTTTAAGATTCATTATAATTTTTATAATAATAGCTAACATTTATATAGTGTTTACTATGTGCCAGGTACTGTGATAAGCACTTTATAATTATTATCTTGTTTGAGCTTCATAATAATCCTGGGAGGTAGGTGCTATTATTATCTCCATTTTTATATGTGAGGAAACTGAGGCAAATGAAGGTTAAGTGACTTGCCCAGCATCACATAGCTTTTAACTAACTATCTGAAGCCAGATTTTAAATTGGATAATTCTTGACTCCAGGCTCATGATGTTGTTATAACCAGTGCAAGGACCAGAAGGGCATAGAGTCCATACTGCTTCTCTAAGCACTGAGCAAGAAGAACTAAAAAAATGTATTTAGCTTAAAAAAAAAAAAAACAAGTGCCTGGCACATAGTAGGTGTTTAATAAATGCTTGTTGACTTGACAGTATAGCACATACTAACTTGGTGTTAAGACTAGCTAGAGCGCCTCCCTTGAGTTACAACAGCTTCTTAAGACTGGCCAAATTTCCTTACTAAAATATAATATTTCCCTGGCAGAATTTGCCCATCTATCAATCAACAAGCACTTACGGGCACTGGAGAGACAAAGAAAAAATGTTAAATAGTCTCTGCCTTCAAGTAGCTTACATTCTTCTAACAGGAGAGACAACATGTCTATATTACACAAAATAAATACAAGGTGGTTTTGGATGGGAGTGTACTAGCAATCATAGGGGAGAATCAGAAAATATTTCTTGTAAAAAGATGACAGTTGAATGGAATCTTTTTTTGGAAAAATATTTGTTATTGATGTCTTCTTTTTACATTATTTAAATTTCTCCCTATATTCCACTCCTTCCAAAAAACAATTTAACAAAATTTAAGCAAGAAAAAGCAAATGAAGAGAAAAATCATTCAAACCAATTAAAACATTGAAAGAATTTGACATTATATCCAATGTTCCACACCTAAGGATGTGTGCCCTTTCTGCGCCCACTGACATACCTCTTTGCAAAGAAGTGAGTAGAGGGTGTCTACTAATATTTCTTCTTTGGTGACAAGCTTATTCTTTATAATTCTGCAACTTTATGTTCAATTGTTTTGCAATACCATTCCTATTCTTATTATGTGGCAGTTATTCTTGCCATTATTATTACTGTAGTCACTGTGTATATTGTTTTCTTGGTTCTGCTTACTCTACTTTGCATCAATTCATGTAATTTTCTACATTCTTCTCTGTATTCGTATTAGGCATTTATTACAAAATGTTTATGTTCCAAAATTTGCTTAGCGATTGTCCAATTCATGGTTATTATTTTTTCCTAGTTCTTTGCTACTAGAAAAAATTGGTGCTCTAAATATTTTGGGTCCCTTCTTTTTTGTCATAATGATCTTCTTGTGACACAGGCCTAGCGGGAGAATTTCTGGAACCAAGGGTAGGAATATTTTAGTCACTTTACTTTCACGGTTCCAATTTATTTTTCAGAACAGTTATACTAACTCAGAAATTTGAGATGAATTTTAAAGGAAGCCACGGATTCCAAGAGGTGAAAGCGAGGAAGGAATGTATTCTAGGCAAGGGGGACAATTAGCAGAAAGTCATGGAGATGGGACATACAGTGTTTTCTGTGTGTGTAGAAAGGTGAGTAGGCCAATATGGCTAGATTGCAAATATTTGAGAAGAGGTATAATAGCTAAGATGTCTTTAAAGATAAGAAGCAGTCAGCTTAGAGAACTTTAAATGCCAAACAAAGAGTTGTTAGAGTTTTCTGGGGAGTGATACAGTCACCTTGGTGGTTCTGTAAAGGATGGATTGAAGAGGGGAGAGATTTGAGGCAGAAAGATCAATTATTAGGCTGTTGCTACAGTCTAAGTAAGAAATGATAAGAACCTGAATTAAAATAGTGGCTATGTGAATGTCAAAAAGGAAATGTATAAAAGAAATGTTGTAGAGATAGAAGTATCAAGATTTTGCAAGTTAGATTGTAAGCTTCTTGAGGGCAGAGGCTGTACATTGTCCCCTCTTTTTTAACAATTAGCTTAGCACAGTGTCTGGCACATAGTAGGTGCTTGATAAATGTGTACTGAATGAATCAGTGAATGAAAGTGCAGGGAGTGAGAAAAAGGAATAAAGGAGGAGACCAACCTGGGTGACTAGTAGAATAGGGTGCTACCACCAACATCCTCATTCTATCCTGGGCTGCATTAAGAGAGGTGAAGCTTCCAAAAATAAGACAGTGATAATCCCACAGGATGTTGCCCTCATCAGACCTCATTTGGAGTACCAAATTCACTTCTAGACACCATGGTTTAAGAGATACTGATAAGCGAGTAAATACATAGAGGAGGGCAATCAGAATGGCAAAGGGCCTTGATTCCATGTCATATGAGGATTTGATTGAAAGAATAGAGCATGTTTAGCCTGAAGAAGAGAAGACTTGGTGGTGGTGGTGGTGATGGTAGGGAAGATAAGATCATTGTATTCATGTATTGAAAGGGCTGTCATGTTGAGGAAGATTAGACTTCCTCCATTTAGTCTCAGAGGGTAGAACCAGGAGTAATGGGTGGAAGTTACAAAAAGGCCCATTTAGGTTTGATATCAGGAAAAATATCCTAACAAATAAGGGCTGTCCAAAAGAGTAATAGGTTGCTTAGAGAGGACTTCCCACCTTGAAAGTATTCAAGATGAAGCCGAATGATTATTTGTGGACATTGCTCTCACATATATATGGAAATAGATGGCTGCTGAAGCCCTCAGCTGAACTACTCTCAAATTCTGTGATGTTATGGTTAACTAATGCTAATATGATCCCAGCCTTCAAGAGGTTCATGATATTGTAAGGGATACTGAGGTTTGCTGAAATGAGAGCTTAGTCACAAAGCCTTCCTTGTTATCCAAGGTGATGGTAATATCTCCCTCCTCTGCCCTCTTACAACACTTAATGTCTGACCATATATATGACATTTCTTCTATATAGCCTTGTTTTGTCCTTCATTGTGAACACATTTCCCCTAACTTCCTGGAAGACAGAAAATACTGTAGGGAAACAGCAATAATTGACAACTGTTAAGGGAAGGTGTTTCTTTCCTCGGGCAGTATCTGAACTATTAGCTTTAGGTAGTTCATAGTTTCAACATTAAACTGTACTTCATTCCTTTTGATGACATTCTTGAATGTTTCAAATATGTTTTTATTTATTATACTTTAGATTATGCTAGTAACTTCTTGAACATTCTCTTTTGTGACAACACATCTTTACAAGGTTGGGTTTTTCAGCAGTTGCTGTGATTAAAAAAAAAAAAAAAAAAAAAAGCAAGCACCCAGCCAAAAAAATCAACGTGGAACAGAAAATGAAGGTGGCAGTGACCAAACCAATTCTAAGGTTTGAGAAGCTGTGTGGTGTCCAAAAGGCACATGAATCCCTTTAGTAATTATGGTTATTTAACAATGGGATAAAATTTTCTTTTCTTTCAATTTATGTGTCACTTTTTCAGAGAGTTGCTAAGTTATTAAGTTAATACTTATTAAGTTGTTTGGACTTGACTACTTTAATAAAAGGAATTCTTTGGCATCTCTTTTGGGCAAGGGGTGCCATAAAAATTTTTGCTAAGACACTAAGAACACCATGAACTGAGAAAGTTTAGGAACCTCTGGCATAGTGGATAGATAGGTAGAGGGTTCAAGTCCAGGAATTGACACACAATGGTTGTGTCATTATGACTCTAGCCAAGTACCTCAGGTGTTAGTGCTCTAGGAAATTTTCTAAGATTATAAGTTACGGAAAAAATGCCAACTTATATTAAGAGAGGGAGTTTCCTCATCTGAGAATTACATTTACAAATGAATTTACAGGTCCAATATCCCTTCCAGGATTATGGAGATCATATAGAAATGTAAAGGTAAGCAGCAATATAATTAAGTCAACTTATTTAGTAATTTTTTTCATTTACATTAATTAATTTTAATGTATGAAGTAGCACAACAATGTTTGGTTGCTCCCTAACTGTTAATCAGTATACTTTATCCATTCAATTTTTCTCTTATTGGTCTCCATTCTTTTTTTTTTATTTTTTTAAATTTTTATTTATTTATTTATTTTTCTCCATTCTAACAAACCTGATATGGTACTAGTTTGGACTGTCTTATGTTTTCAACAATCAACATTTTCTCTTTCCCTTTCCCTCTCTTTCTTTCTCTGAACAATTCCACCAACAGTAAATTTCCTTTTCTTCACCACTGGGTTTTCAGGAAAGAGAGAAAGAAAGAAAGGTGATTCTGTCAGGTGGCAGGAGACAACACCCAGAAGGAGAAATAGACATGGAACCATAAGAATTTCTATTATTCCTTAATTCCTCTATTTGTCCAATGGGGAATAGGGACTGGACCTCTGAATGAATCTGTATAGGGACCTCATGGGTAAGGAAATTCTCTCTAGTAGTGCAGGTTAGTTAGTACCTTCTCTGCAACTTGTTGACTTGCCTCTTGTCAGAGGTGGAATTCGAACCTAGGTCTTACTGGTCTAAAGACCAGCCCTTTAGCTCCAATTCTATACTATTCTCACTTACTAGGAATACTGCTAAAGAATTTCTAGTGGTTCTACTCCCCAATATGCTTAGAGTGTTTCAATAAAATCAGTACAGTGGAGCAAAAAGAGCTCTTTCCTGGCAGTCAGGAGCCAGGGGTTCTAGTCCTGATTCTCTAGCAAGTTCTGCAGCCTTAAGTGAATAAGCACCTTCTCCTTTCTGAGCTTCAATTTTCTTATCTACATAAAATTGGATTCAATGATTTCTAAGGTCCTTTTTGGTTCCTACATTTCCATGAATCTA